CTCAGTCTTTAAGGACTCAGCTCCTTACATGGGCTTTGGTGGGGGACGTGGGGCAGCACCCTGAAAGACAAAGAAACAAAACAGTAAATTAAAACCCATGGATTCAAGATTCCCTTCCCCGAAAGAACTTGATCACCATCCTCTCACTAACAATGTATTCAAGCTACAAATGCATGGGAAGCTGGTAGAGGTGGAGGGAGAACACTACTCTGCTGTGTCTCTAAGCATGTTCAGGTGTGGGTCTCACCTGCCTTACAGCTTAACCTGAGGCAGAGACCTTAATTTTATATCCCCTGCACCACAGGAGGATGCAACTTTTTTTTATTTAAGAGATAAGGTCTCACTTTTGCCCTGGCTGGAGTGCAAGTGGTATAATTGTAGCTCACTGCAACCTCAAACTCCTGGGCTCAAGTGACCCTCCTGCCTCAGCCTCTCGAGCAGCCGGGACTATAGGTTCGCACTATCATGCTTGCCTTCCTTCTAAATATTTTTTGAAAACATGGGGTCTTGAACTGTTGGTTTCTAGCAATCCTCTTGCCCCGGCCTCCCAAAGTGTGAGGTTACAAGCATAGGACACCGTGACCCGCCAGAATGAAATTTTTTAAACCAACACTCCCCTGGCTTCCATTCTTTTTAAATACTCACCGCAGGTCTAAATCGGGGAGGGGGTGTTCGGTCCTTGCGGGCTTCACGAGATCGATTCCTGACTACTTTGCTGTGAATTGCACAACTCACACAGTAATGCAGCTTCACATACAGCTTGGGAAGCACATAGGCTAAGGAATAGAAAATAGAGTTATACTAGTATTATACACCTACCTTGCTTTTTTGTTACAAGATCTTACATGTTTACGTCAATTAAAACTAAACCTATTTAAATGCCTGTCCCGCACATAAAAGCACCCCCAAAGCCCCTGTTCTTGAGCACATGTACCTGAGCACATGTGTTCATCTTGACACTACAAAGACCAGACTGACACTCTAGATGCAATAGACCAATAATCCAGTTCCTTCTACAGCTACACCCGCCCTAATGCCTACCCTGAACCTTGCTCTTTCTATAAAAATAACTTAAGGAAAAGAAACAAAGCGACGTTCTTATGGCTCCAAACATCATCCTTTCACACCAAACTAGACTGCCTCCATTCTCGAAACGTTGAAGACATTCTTCCTCACCTGTACATTTTCACAAGTACTCAAATAATCATAGTATAAGAATTGTCAAATTTACCAAGTTTCTAGTTTTTGGAATCTCATAACCGAAACAGACAAACGTTTACCTCAGAGTAAAGGCTGTGCACTCTATCACAAAAACTAACCTTCTGCCCAGAAAAGAATCAAAACGACAAACATGAGCACATAATATTCTTTTCTACCAGCAACAACCTTACATACGTGGAAAGTGCCTGAGAGGCTCCAACGAACAGAGCCTGCAGAAGGGCGAGGTTGGGTGAAGGCTTTTAAGGTACTGGGATCCTCAAGCAGTTCTAGCCGGTGATCCACTCACCATCAAAGACGCTCGCTTCAGAAATGTCCCTGACCGCTGCGGCCTCCACTATGTTTCGAATGAC